GTAATACTTACTCGAGACTACACTAGCTTGGGGACTCAGCAGGGGGGGGTTGGAGATGGGCTTTTTATGGATCGACCGGTTGCTTTTAACGTTGGTTGGGGTTGGGTATCCCGGCGGGTGGGCGGCCGTGTGTGGTGTTTGGACGAATAGATGGGTTCGAGGAGTACGTCGGGAGTTGGAAGTAAGAGTAGAGGGCCGAGTGAGGCAGTAAGGATGGTGGTTGGATGATGGGTCGTGTCAATGACTTGATGCTGCGGTTCGTTGGATGGGGTATAACAGCTGCTTTACCTAGGGAGGCACGAAAAGAAGCCTTTCTTCTCTTTCACTTTAGACGATTGATGTGTGTTGTTTTCCCGAGGACTCTCGGTCTGTTTATTGTTATTGGTATGTGACATACCATTCGCTTGTTGGTCATCATCCCTGATGAATCGTTGCTGAGGATGAACCCATGGGGAGAAGTAGAGACATTATGAGACTTGAGTTGGAAGAAAACACAGAGAGAAAATATAACCATTTTGTTTTCTCGCGGCGTAGGTATTGTTGGATTCAGTCTGGGTCCGCGTCTCTGGACTAGGTACGAGTTCATACAGTCCCCAGGACGTCCATCTTCTCGTCAGTGTGATGGCTGTGTAACTGGACCACACCCAATTTAAAACCGGCCCTTCTAAACGGATTGCCGTAATTCCAAGCTCAGTATCTTGACCATATCAACTTGGGAGAAGGGGAGGAGGGGAGGTATTCACGGCCATCCACCCACCCATTTAAGCGTCTCAAGAAGTTCTCTTTCTCCGTTTGGATTATAAGCTGAGAACTCACACGACAATTGAGTCACTTTTGTCTCCGACACTACACGCACTATATACACTATATGGCCGTGACAGTGGTAGCAGGTAGGTAGGTAGTCAGTCCTTCATAGCGACTGGCACCTCAAAGGGGCACACGGTGACCACTTTACAGAAAGAATGAAGGGGCAATTCACATCCACAACGACACAACCAAAGCGAAAATGTTTCCAGGATAAGTATACCGTCTAAATACTTTTCGAAATAATTTCACACATACCACGCAAAGACGGAACTACTTCCGCCCTTCCCTTCGTTCATTGTGTAAGTTGTGAGGTATATACAGTTTAAAAGGAGATCTCTTTAAAAGATGAAAGAACGGTGTGGTCACAACCAAAAGAGGAAGAAGAGGCCGAGACGCGCTTTGATGCTTTTGTGTGTGAAGCCAGGATTCCCCCCCACATTCCGAATAAAACGACTAGGGATGCTTTGCAGCGGCGCAGTGACATGCATTGTTTGTTCACACACCTGACCCATGGAAGTTTGGAAGGAAGGGATGGATTGCACAGCACAGCACAGCAGTTGAGCAGGCAGGGGTGTGTGTGCATGCGGTCTTTATTCAGTCATTCAACCGTTTCAGAAGACAAGCGTGGCAGGCCACCGAAGCCCAGTGAAGATGGGGTTTGTCGTTGTCTCGTTGGTGTTTATAACAACTGGTTATTCTGTACTCGGTACAAAGTAGGAGTTTGGTATAACCACAGTTGGACTTCAAGACACATCCTGACTACTTCCGCTAAATCGCCGAGTGATTTACGAAACACCAACTGGCAGTCCTTATACCTAACTAACACAACATACGCGGCACAAGCTGGCGAGCTTCGCCAGTGCTGTATCTGGATAGCCTGACAAATAGACACAAGACTGCTTCACTCCACGCGCACTGTCCCCAACCATTCTACCTCCCCGCCTCGAGGTCAACAATCCACCATGATTCTAAATGCACAAATTCCAATTCCAACAAGTCCTCTCCGGTATTACAAAAGAAAACTGCCATCTTCCGAGAAAAACAAACTACCGTCCATGTCCATGCATCCCGCGTCTAATAATCCCAACGCCGTCCTTGCTATATAAAAAAGCATAGAAAACGCTTCTCCAATTTCTCATCCGTCCAGATCACCGGGAAAGCGCATGCCCCTAGCACTCGTCCTCGACCGGCTTATCATGGCGCGAATACATCCTCCACTCGAGCGACGTACTAAAGTCGATCTTGCCCTGCTCGACCTGTTTCCTCGTCGCAGACAGCATCGGCGTCGGCAGGCCCATCGATTCGAGGAATGACACAGCTAAACACACAGACACACACACATTAGCACAACTTATCCATATCTGAGGAACAAGACAGACTTACTCTCCCTCCACTCCACGTCCTGCCTCTTCTTATCCCACTTCAGCTCGCCCGCCATGATATCAATAACCTTAGGCAACGCCTCGAGCGCCGCCTGCGCATTCAGAAACGCCAGCCTCGTCCGGCGCGCGAGCACGTCGATCGCCGTCTGCGCATACTCGTGCCGCACGGCATACCGGATCTCGCCGTCGACAAACGGATACAGCTGCGAGATGCGCTCGCCGCGGGCGGGGAACCGCTTATCCGTCGGCCGACACAGCGCCGCCACGGTCCAGGCGCGATCGCCATAGCTCTCGGTCAGGTGCTTGGCCACCTCGGTCTCGACGCCAAAGTGCTGGATCAGATGGATGAAGAGCGTCCGGCTGAAGCCGTGGGCGCCAATCAGCCGCACGCGGTGCGTCTGGCACGACCCGTCGAGCTCGGCGCCGTCGTCGATGGCCTCGGTGCCGCTGACGCGCGGCGCGTTGGTCACGCGCCGCGGCTGCAGGCCGAACTCCTTGATCGCGGCGTCGACGCACTCCTCGGCCATCTGGCGGTACGTGGTCCACTTGCCGCCGGCGCACGTCACGAGCCCCGACTCGGAGATGTCGATCAGGTGGTTGCGCACCAGTGATTCGGTGTTCTTGGCTTTGGGGTCCTTGACGAGCGGCCGCAGTCCGGACCAGGCCGCCAGCACGTCGCCGCGGCGCACGTTGATATCTGGCGATAGATAGTGGCTGACCTCGTTGAGGATCCACTGGATCGACTTTTCATCTGGAAGCGGGTTCTTGGAGATCTCGGCCGGTTCGTCCGTTGTGCCGGCGATCGTGTTGCCCTGCCACGGCAGGAAGAAGATGACCCTCCCGTCCGACGTCGACGGATCAATCAGACCCATCTTTCCAGGACTGTAGTATCCCGGCAGGATGATATGCACGCCTGACGCCGGCGCAACAATCTCTTTGCATTCCGGGTCGTCTAGCTTCCGGATGCCGTCGGTAAAGGGGCCAGTGCAGTTAATGATACACTTGGCCTTGATGTTGAACGGCTCGGCCTTCTTGCCGTCTCGCTCGGGGATCTTATCGTGAACGGTGGCGCCGAACAGCTTGCCGTCTGTATTCTTGAGCAGGCCGGTGACTTCCATGTGGTTGACGACGGTGGCGCCATAGAGAGCGGCCGTCATGGCTATGGAGACGTTCATCCGGGAATCGTTGTGGGCGCCATCATAGTAGACCAAAGCGCCGACGAGGTCGGTCTGCTTGAGCATGGGAAACGCATCGATGGCCTTGCTCTTGGTCAGGAAGTAAGAACTCTCGATGCCCTCGCTGCCGGCCAGCAAGTCATAAAACTTGGTGCCGGCCCAGTAGTACGGCGCCTTCCACCAGCTGTCGAGCGGCAACATGATGGGCAGCCACATGCTCAGATGGGGCGCCGTCTGCAGAAAGTACTTGCGCTCCTTGAGGGCCTCCTTGACGAGCTCGTACTGGGCATAGTCCAAATTCCAGACGGCCTTCTCGAGGTAGCGCACGCCGCCGTGGACGAGCTTGGTGCTCTTGCTGCTGGTGCCGCAGCTGAAGTCGTCTCGCTCCACCACGGCCACCTTGAGCCCGCGCGTGGCCGCATCGAGGGCCACGCCGGCCCCGGTCGCGCCGGCGCCGATGACCAGCACGTCGTACTCGTCCTGGCGGAGGTCGGCGATCTGCTCGTGGCGGGCCTTGATGCGGGGGAAGCGCGGCAGCTTGAAGGTGCCGTCGGCGCCAAAGATCGGGGGCGGCACGGCGGGGCCGTCGTACCCGGGGATGTTGCGCGGCCGGTAGCTGTAGTACAGCGCGCCGCCTGCTGCGCCGGCAACCGCTGCCGGCACCAAAAGCCGCCGCGCCCTCAGGAGCCTCGACATTGTGCGACTGTGTTGTGTCTTGGTTGTTTTTCGCTGTCAACTTTCCGGCATGTGACGGGCCCTGGTCGCCCTCTTTACAAAGGCGCTCCACCAATGACGCAACAGTGGTTCCTCGCAAAGTCCGCCACACCGGAAAGTGCCCGTCGCGGAAATTCAAGGATGCTCGGAACCCGTTTACTCTAAAGCTCCGATAGTTTCGCAAAGTTGGGACGAGAGTGGTGAGAGATTTGGTGGGGTGAACCAATGAGACAGACTTGCGACGAGAAAGTTAGAAAAGATTGGAAGGAACGATGACCTTCCACCTTGCCACAGCTCGAGGAAGAAGAACAAGGACAAAGTTTCGAGACATGATAGCTTGGCAAGATTTTTTATGTCTCAAGAAAAAGAATTTGACGTTAGGAGTTCGAGTGCCCAGTTGAAGAGAGGCACACAGACACATGCAACAGTGAGCAAAGAGCCGAGCTGTCGGGGTCGAGATGGAGATTTTCCGCCAATCCCGTTTTACCGCTGATGATCAAGAGAAACAAGCTCTTTTGCCCTGCAGTTGGCTCCTCTGTTGCTCTGCAGTGGAATCAGTGCGGAATGTGTCCATTTGACGTGGTTAAGGGCATTTCATGGCACCATGTAGACCTAGCTGCATTTCGTCGAGTCCAATACGTGCGACTTGGCAGCAGATGGCCGGTTGCTGCAAGCTACCAACACTAGACTTCTAGGGCCCTGCAAAGCTCACAGCACAACGGCCGTGTCACATCTGGAATCACTGACTCGGCCTGCTGTTTGAGGCGTTTAGTAATGCATACCGAAACTGCCCATGTGCATCGAACTGGTACCATGTCTTGCGGGAAACCTCTCAAGCATCCGGTGCCACCGGAAAACCACAAAATATATACCACAATAATCCCCCAATCTTCCACGAAATCGGGATCATACACGATTCAAATCGGGTATGGTGTAGCGGTAACATCGCTGACTCTCAACGGCCTAAAAACCCAAGAGTGTCTCAGCAGCCCGGGGTTCGACTCCCCGTATCCGAGTTATTTTTTGCTCCCCTCCTCCTCCCCTTTTTTCTTTTTGCTGAAGGCAATGCCTTGCTGAACCCACCCGGTACGTCCCCGGTATAAACAGAATAATTTCTTATCCTTAACGTCCAATCTAGCTGTCCTCTTGACGAGGATGAGAGTATCACGGTCGATTTCGTGTACCTTTTCACTGCTCCCATTTTTACCGACTGAGATAATCGCAACACGCGACGAGAGAGATAGCTCACGGCCACCAACTGACTTTGAAAGCATTTTATCTTTTGTCATCGAATCATCTTGCTACACCTCGCAGAACACCCTCTCCCTACCAAAGGGGTATCTATCTACCTTTGTCGTCCTAAAGTTATACACGATTCCAGCCCAGTCCAACAACGCCTTCCAACCTCCCAACTCCCAGCTCCCGGCTGACCAGCTGACGATGTCTCTCATGAACTCCATCCCAATACTCCCAACAAGATTACTTCTTCAGACATTTGAGCAAAGGCGCGATCCTCGTCCGTTTGCTCAGTCCTACGCGGTACCTGGCCGTACCTTGGCCCTGACCCTGGCTCTTAATCCCGCCTGACGGTGTTGCCGCCGTCACCTTGACCGCCGCCAGCTTCTTGTCCTCTCCCTTATCCTCCGTCTTTGTGACTGGCGGTGGCACTCCCAGGACCGTCTTGGTTTCCTCCGACTTGACCGGCGACTTCTCTTCCTCGTCTTCGAGATCACCGTCGTTCTCTCCGTCGCTTGCGTCAATCTCCCCTTTTCTGTTTCCTTTCTTGGACGTAGGGTGAGCTTGTGAATTTGACGATCGCTCCGAGAGGTGCTTGCCGTCCTCCTCCTCATGCTCCGGGACCTCGACTGGTGTGATAGGTTCCTTCTTCTTTCGTCCTCTCTTGCCTGGTTTAGCAGTTGAGCTTGGCTTGACGTCGTGGGATATGCTCTCTGCTGGGTCATTCGGATTTTTAGGGTCCGGTGTATCTGGACTTGCTACCGCTTGGACGGCCGACTTGCGCGGGCGCCCTCTTCGCTTCTTGGGCGCAGGCTCTTCCGTCTGCGCCAGCTCAGTTGGTTCCTGTAGAGCTTCTTGAATGGTATTGATGTGTGCTTCGTCCGGATTGTTGTCGTCAATGGGCTCTTGGACTTGTTCGTTCGGCTGCTTCCGTTTCCGACCTCGCTTCTTTGGCTCCGGTGGCATCTCTGCTGCTTGTCGGCCGGAGAGCGACGAGGTAGCCGCTGAGTTCTGGCCCTCGTTATTCGTGTGGCCCTCATCAACCGCCGCCCCGTCCTCCCGCTCCAACCCAGCTTCCTGCAGATGATCACGCAATACGTCGTCCACACTCTCAACACCGTTGCTGCTGCTCACCCTCCTCTTCTTCGCACTCCTCGTCTCCAACGGCGGCCCCAGCACCTCATACACATCCTGCGACGCCTTGACCGCCGGCCGTCCCCGTTTCTTCTTCCCTTTCCCACTCCCCGTCCCGGGCTCCCCTACAATCACATCCGGCGACGAAGCCGGATGCGTGCCCACCCCAACGTGCCCAGGCGATTCACCCTCGTCAACCTCATAGACACCAGTAAGCCCATCCTTCTGCGATGAAACCCTCCTCGTCGCAGCCGACGACCCGAACCGACTCGGTGTCGAATACGGTATTGTCGTAGCCCCGCTCGACTTTTGCACTAGTCCATCTCCATCCAGACCCGTAGCCGTCGGCAAGCCAAGTTCCCCAGCGACAGGCTCAAAACCGGACGACGGCGCAACGAATTGGTATTCCATCTTCTGACTCGCCGTCAGCGCGCTGGGGGCGAGATACAGACCCAGCTGCGGGGTATCCGTGTTCGGTATTGTCGACTGGTAACCTGTGCTGGGTGTGGTATATATACCTAGTTGTGCAGTGTCCGTATTCGGTATCGTCGATTCATAACCCGTGCCGGAACTTCCTCCCAAGCCGGTATCCATCGCTTGTAACCCACCACCGCCCGGACTAGACGATATTGCCGCCCCACGCTTCACCCTCTTTGCCCGCCCCGAAGAAGGGGGTTGATCCGCCGCGGTACTGGGGAAATCATACGGATCCAGTGTCGAGGGCATACTGCTCTGCTCCTCCCCCGCCATTCTGCTCTCCCGCTTGCGCTTCCCATACGTCCGTGCCGCCTTTGACAAAGACTTCACCCCAGAACCGCTATCCTTTGATGACGAAGGGAGCAGCAGAGAAATCGGACTCTGCGTCGGCGGCGCACCAGCAGGAACCAAACCGATCTCCCCCCGACTGGGCGTAGTGACCTGCGTAGGATCGTCCATATCCTCCTCCCGTCGCGACTGAAACGCCCTCTTCACCTTGCGACTTCCCGCCGGCGGCGCAGGATCCGTGACGGAAGTCAGCGACGATAAACCCTTGTTGTGCTCCTGCTCCTGCTCTCGCTCGTCTCCTTCCCCGGAAAGCCGCAGATAGTCGACCATATCCTCCTCGCCCCTGCTAGTTCCAGCAACAGCAGCGCGCTGCTCATTATAAACCCGCTCGAAAAACTCGGGATCCGTGCTCTTCAGACTACTCGAATTAGTTCCATTGGTGGTGCCGCCGTCGCGGGGTCGTGGTTCGGTTTCGTCGTCTGCAGCGGCAGCACCGTCATTTTCGTAGACTGCGCCGCCTCCGCCTGCCTTGACGGGGCTAAAATCGCTTCCCTCGTCTTCGGAGTCGAGAATTTCTCTTGCAGGCGCCATGGCGAGTTTTTACCGACCAGAGACGAGGCCAAGTTTGGATGACAGGAAGGTGCGGAGAAAACACACGCCGCCTGCCGCTGCGTTTCGACGCGTCGCGCTTGTCTTTGGCGCGCGGTGTCATGTGCGGCCAATCTGCACAGAAACAGCTTAGTCAGCCATTCAACAGTAACACCACCCTCACAAAAGAAATGTATTCACTTTGGCCTTTAATTCAGTATCTTCAAGACGACAATCGAACTTGGATCGCTTGATTTCGTTGTTTTCAGCTCATGAATTAAACATCCGCCAACTGTGAAAGCCCCTCGGACTGGATGACCTAGATAGTTGAGTAACAGGGCCCACAGATACATCGCCCACAGGTTGTGTAGTGTAGTGGTTATCACATTGGATTTTGATAGCTCCCTATCCTTCCAATAACCCCGGTTCGAGCCCGGGCACGACCTCATCTTGACCAGAATATTTTCTCAGCAAGATTTTTCTCTTTTTGCTTCTCTGCAGAGAAGCTCTGTATCTTCACACGGCCGCGTTTTTGGCGTCTGTCGAATAGCGCAGTTCCTAGCAGCAATTTTTGTCTCCTATGGCAGAATGGGCATTAAGGAACCACACAGAAGTGACACGCGCTGAGGAATCAAAATGACGATAAATTGTCGTGTATAATGGAGCGGCTAACCACCCCCGAAATGCTGCCCAAAAGATTGTGATCACCAGGTTACCATGCCTTGCCTCGACAGAAGACCTTCCCATCCGCCCAACGCCACCTAACAAAATCCGAATACAACCACAACACCAGGTATGAATGATCCAAAGACCATAATGGGTATCAAGAGAATGCTGGGAAGAGAACTAATGAAAATGCATCCACACTGCTGTCGTATCACTAAAACTCGCGTGGCTTCACCGGGGCCTGTCCGTATACGCTGATGGCATCGTCATCGTCGTTCTTGGGATGTGTCAAGTCCCTGGATTGCACCGTCACGCCTGCTGGAGTCGGCTTGACACCTTCCTCTTGGCCCTTTCCTCCCCGCAGCTCCCAGCTCCCCGTCCGTTCATGACGAGCACCGCTCTTTGCGAATGCGAGATCCGTGTCGCTAGCCATCTTTTCGGCACCTTTGAACCCGCCCAGTGTAGCACTGCGAGTCTTCGCATCGTCAGCACGGCGGAAGCTGACGACACCAAAAGCAACCGCAGCGAGGAACAAGATGCCTGCCACGAGGAGCGTCACCGCAGCTCCGATCACGCCGGCAAGCACCGGGCTGGGACCACCGGAACCGCTTCCCGAGGAAGAGCCTCCTGAGCCGCCATAGCCACCTTGGAGATCCTGGCAGAACAACGAGATACTATCACACAGGTTGCACCACTGTGATATAGTGCTGACACCAAACTGTTGAATGCCGTTAAGGAAAGTTGCGAGGGGAATCTTGATTTCGCTGCCGTTGAATAGGGGGTACGGAGTGAGGATATCGTTCTCATCGGTACCATTGCGGTACAAGAAGCGCACCCATAGGTCTTCGGGATCCGGGTAGACTGTCGCGTTTTCGCTAATGGAAAACATCTCAAACACCATCATGGCCCCTGGCTCGGGCAGAGGTTTGAAATCAGCAGCATGGTCTCCGATAATCAACCCTGATAGCGCGAAAAAGGCAACGAAGGGCTCCAGCGTCGTAAATGCGAGGTTCAGCTTGTTTGTGGCACCAGCCATGCGCATGTTCTCCCTGAACCACGACAGCGTCTTGGATGCCATGGTACGGCCGGCCACGGCACGAATCATATCCCCCTGGTTGTACCCAGAGACCGAGAGGTTGGCGTTTTTGTTTCGCTGCTCGGTCGAGGCGAATCGAGCCATCATGGCCATTTCGCCTTCTGAAACGTTGGCGCGGGTGGCATTGTCATGGTTGTACCGAAACGAAGCGTAGTCGTACAGGAGATAGGCATTCCCAAAGTTGGCCATGGAAGGCGGGAACACCTCGTGGAGAACCTCGGCCCACAGCGTCTGGTAGAAATTGAGCGTGTTGTTGTAGACGGTCTCCACGATGTCGTCGGCCCTAAAGGTGAGCAACGACTCCGTGTATGCCGTGCAGCCGATATGGCCTCCGATCCTAAAACCATGAGCATTGCGGTCTCGGCCGCTTCTGGGAAACGTACCAGACGGACTCAAAGTCCAGGACAGAAGCCGTCCTCATGTTCGCGTACTGGTAACCGCCCAGGGGGTAGTTCACAATGCTGCCGTTCGGCGTCCTGGCGGCATCCATGCCTCCATTGTTCTCGGCAAAAGCCTGGAGAATCGGCGGGT